GAAGGTAAAATGAACGTCCCTGCATCTGTGCACTTGGGAGTCTTCCGGGACCTCGGCTCGCCCTCCCGGCAACCCTAAACCTAGAGGAATTTATTATGACCGTCTCGGTAGATGTGCTTGCAGGAGGGGCTCCGGCTACTCAGGCACCGGGCTGCTTCGTCAAGTGAAGCCAGCCCCGGGCGCTGTCCTTATAACGCAGGTAGGATCCGCCAGCGCACTGCACGCGTTTCAGGCCGGTATCAATCACCTTGTTGGCGGTTCTCACGTTGTCGATGGCGTTCTTGGCGAAGGCATGGAACGCCTTCCTGATCTCCGAAGCGAGGATGCCTCCAGATCGATGTGAGGGCCATGCTTTACAGGTTGGGCCTGCTCTCCTCCGCCGTGTCTTCAAGGAAGGTATCTTGCTCGAAGGAACCCTCCTCTTCTTCGCCCTCCCTGGCCTCATCGTACAGCCGCTCCAGGCCACGCTCTAGCTCATCCGGTTCCGGCGCAGCAGCTCGGCCCAGAAACACATCCAACAGCTGAACCCTGGCGTCGTCCCGATCAGCTGCCGCAACCAAAGCCGCGCCGAAACATCCGAGCGACCACAGCCCTGCATAGCCCGAATCTGGACCATCTCGTAAGGATTCTCAGCTGTCTGAAGGTAGCCATGCACAAAGCCTTTCACATCTGGGCTCAGACCGGAACTCCACTCAGCGTCCACGTAGGAGGCCTGTCAAAGGATGTGTTGCAGGGCTAGGGTGTTGTGATGATCGGCAACCCTCCATCTTGGAGCTCTGCCCCGGCTCCGTGACCTCCGGCATCGGCTCATCAGCCTGGTCCAGCGGCTGCGCAACCAACTGACGCATGCACTGAAACTGGCCCAACCTGCTCCGCGGTCTCCTGCTCCGCGGTCTGATCCTGAGGAGCTGGCGCCTGCCGACCACATGGAGGTTTCATATGCTACACATGCTACATGCCGGGACATATTCAAGGCCTCTCGATCGATCGCAACCGAATCCGAAGTGTCCGGAACCTACCAACCCAAGAATGCTGCACGCTGCACGCGCTACCGCTACCTCTGCAGGCCTCTTGCTGCGTGGTCTCCTGGACCGGCTCAGCCTGCGAGACCAATGACCGCAAGCGGCACAAGTAGCGGCACCGTAACGGGCATCGGCTCATCAGCCTGGCCAAGGGATTACACCCAACTAACGTAACTAACGCAAGCACCGACAAAGCCAACCTGGATCGACGTCGCGGTTTCCTGCGCGGTCTCCTGGACCGGCTCAGCCTGCGAGACCAATGACCCCAGGCAACCCACGTAGCGGCACCGAAGCGGACCTGGCTCGGCTCCACACCGAAAGCCTCCGCGGTGCATCCGAAGATGTCGTCACATGTCGTCACCTGCCGAACACAGGGTTTTGCGCGCTACACGCGCTACCTAGAAAAGGCCTCCGCGGCCACATCCGAAGTCGCCGGGACCTACCGAACACGCAGGGTTTTGCATGCTACGTGTGCTACCTGGCCTCAGCCTGCTCGGCCACCATCTCGGCATCCTCCTTGACCTGCCGGGCGCGAAATATACATGCTACATATGCTACATGTCTAAGGCCTCTTGCTCGGGCGCCGTCGGGATGCTTCCAGTGTCCTGCCGGGAACCCTATGTAGCACAAGTAGCATCTAAAACTGGGCTACTCGCAAGGCCTTCGGCTCCACCGACGCAGGAGAGCTCCCCACAGCCTGCCAGGGAACGGGGTAGCGCAAGTAGCGCCGGAAGGTGAGCTCCGTTGCGACATCGGGCTCATCGGAGCTCGCGGCGCCTCCCAAGCACATGTAACATTTTTGCCGCTTGAAACCCTCCAAGACGAGCCTGATCTTCACGATTCTGCTCACCCTCGGCTCTCTCCTGAGCAACAAGACGGGTTTTCACCGCATGTCCAATGACCTTTCCCAGCCTTCTTGATGAATCCGTCTAGCCCACCGAACGGGATGCCCTTCTTCATGTTCTTTCGCATGACCTCAAAGGACCCTCGACCAAGACAACGGAAGCCGCAGAACCGAGGCCCAGGCGCCAGAAGTCGAAGAAGTCGAGAGGTCGCCTGGGCAGAGCGAGCGGGGGAGGAGCGAGGGAGCTTAGAACCCGTAACAACCCACAGCAAAGGTTCGGCAGTGACCCTGAAAACTCCTGCAACAGCTGAGGTCCAGACAATCGAATTGAGCGGAAGGTTAAGTACCTGGCAGAGGGGAAGCCCTTGCCCCCCAGACAAGGAGAAAGCAAGCGAAGTGCTGCGACTGTACGCTCACGGCGGCATGCTGCCCATTCTGACCAAGCTGTCGTCCACCTCCGAAGCCTGCATCGCTATCAATCGGTTTCTGCAACAACGCTTCCCAGGGCAATCGTGGACTTCCATCGCAATCGTGCACAACCCAAGCATAGGCTTGCATCGAGACATCCAAAACATGATCGGGCAGCCCAATCACGCGATCGCTCTGGGCGATTTCGTGGGCGGCCGTGTCTGGATCGAAGATGATGTAGGCACGGCAACTGTGCAGCTTTCCACAAAGAAGGGTCTGCGCGAGCTAACTGGAACCTGGATCGACATGCGTGACAGGCCAGTGACCTTCAACGCCCGACGCTACCACATGGTAGAGCCACGCCACGGCAACATGTGGTGTCTTGCTGCTTACACACCACAGTCGTTCAAGCGAGCAACATCGGATGTCGTAGATGCACTGCAACAGCTTGACTTCCCAGTGCCATGATCTCTCTCTTATATCCATGTTTC